TTGGGAGAATCCCTCACATGAGACAGCTGGTTAACAGTCTTCAGCTAGAAGAGAAAGAGTTGCCTAAACACCTGAGCCTAACTGGAGTTGGTGACATGTGCTCTGCATTTCAGATGTAGCAAACAGTGAAACATTGGGCTATGTCTACCCTCAAGACGAAAAGAAAAAGACAAATGTCATATGATATCACTTACATGTGGAATCTACAAATATAATAATAATACAAATGAACTTATTTCAAAACAGAAACAGACTCACTGACATAGAAAACAAACTTGCGGCTTCCAAAATGGAAAGAGAGTAAGGGTGAGGGATAAATTAGGAATCTGGAATTAACAGACACAAACTAAACAAGAAGGATCTACTGTATAGCATGCTCAATCACTCCGTTGTGTCCATTCGTTTGCGACCCCATTGACTAGCCTGCCAGGCTCCTCTGTCCCTGGGACTTCCCGGGCAAGAATACCGGAGAAGGTTGCCATTTCCTTCTCCAGGGCACCTTCCCAGCCCAGGGATCGAACTCCCATCTCAGATGTCTCCCACATTGGCAGGCAGATTCTTTACTTCTGAGCCACCTGGGAAGCCCAGCTGTATAGCACAGGGAATTATACTCAATACCTTGTATAACCTTAACGGAAAAGAATCTGAAAAGGAATCAACTACAATTCAAAACAAAAAATTATTAGAATCTCGTCCGATAATCTGAGAGGGCAGAACTGAGCACATCACACTAACATATATGATTCAGATTCCTCCTTAGGGATGTTCCGTGGAAACAAGAACTACCACCAGCCCCAGGTAACCAAAGAGACAAGAGATTTCTGCTTTTCAGACTAGAGGATTAGAGTCTCTTACGAGAACATATGGGCTTCCCAGGTGGTGCTAGTGGTAAAGAATCTGCCTGCCAATGCAGGAGACCTAAGAGATACAGATCTGATCCCTGAGTCAGGAAGATCCCCTGGAGGAGGGCACGTCAACCCTTTCCAGTACTCTTGCCCGGAGAATCTCATGAACAGAGGAGCCTGGTGGGCTACAGTTCGTGGGGTCACAAAGAGCCAGACAGGACTCAGTGAGCACAGCACACAGCACACACAGTAGAACATAATCAGGCAGCCACCAGGAAGAAAACACTACAGATGCCACTGGAGTGGCAGGTGGAAGATACCCAACACACAGTGACCTGAGAACAGAATAAATGCAAAAGGCTATGCTTTCTCTCAAGATTGCCCAGAAGCACTGCTCTTCCTAGAATTAATCAATGCAGATTTTGATTGGCCAAGTCTGAATTCTTTCAGAAAATCTAAGTGTTCCAGCTAAGACTAAGGAGTGGTGACTGGCTTATTGTATAAGAGTCTCAAATATTCTAGATATTAATTTATGTTCTAAGGAATATCACTAGCAGATTCTTTATCCTTCAACAGCCTGAGTAATTTTAGTAAATTATATAACAGTTATGAAAACCTAGAAGGAAAAATCCAAAAATGTGTGAAATGACTCTCCTCTAGGTTCTCTTACCTGATGATCCATGCATCTATTTTGTCCTCTGTTCTATACCTCTGGGCTGAGTTCAGTCAGCTCTCCTCTTTCACATCCCACCTAAATGATCTATGCAAATTAATGTTTACGTTAAAACCATCAGATTCTTTTTCAGTCTAACTACACCAAAGCACTCCTTCCAAATGTCCAAATGTAACCTATACATGACACAAAATTTATTTCTTAAGGTAATGCTCAGATTGCAATAATTTTTGACATTGCATTATCAACATTATTTTTGAAACCTTGGCAAAGAACTAAAGCATCATTCCAACCTAGATATTTAATAGTATGAGGATCTGTGACTTTGAAAAGTAAGAGCAACTTTTCTTTCTTTTCTATCTGCACAAAGCTTAGCAACTTCTACCAATTGAGTGATGCGAATTTAGTCAGCCATCTAAAAATGTCTCTAAATCTGATTCCATTTCAGCATAAGAACTTACAAAAGACCCCCAAAAGTCACATTACAACGTCTGATCTACTAAGTAACGAAAATGTAGCTTGCTGTTTACCTTCCAAAAAGCCAAAAAAAAAATATATATATATATATATATATATAAAATACACAAAACACTTCAATGTAGCATTTTATGTACATTGCCACCAGAGAAACAAGCAGAAAGGTCAAATATTGTCATATCAGGCTACCCAGATTCTTTCAACACAACTAGTGAAAAGAGGAATGATTATTTGTGTAATGTGAAAATGACTTTAGTGACCAATTTGTAACCAGCATGTATTTCTTTACGTGTAGTTCATGCAGAGATAAGCGTGCTCTTCCCAGCCAGGAGGTCAAGACAGAATCTAGTACTGATTGGCTCCTGCTGGCGCAGACCTGATATTACCAAAAGTTGTAGCTTAGCCAGTCACCTGATAATGTACAGCTGCTTTGGTCTGCTTTTGTTTTATCTGGAGCTTGGAATTACGTCGTTTAAGCCCACGTCCTAGCCACTTCTTTTGAGTTATGTACAGAAAACGCAAACTAGCCAAGATGGCGGTCAGGATGCCTCAACCCATGTTTGGTGGTGACTGAACCGCTGAGCTATTTACAGCACTGCGCATGCGTCACCGGCGCTCCCGCCCTGCTGCAGGGACGCACGAGCTCCAGCCGGAAGCGGCAGGGATTCCTGCTGCCTCACGGCTATGTCTGCGCGTCAGCCTTGAGAGGAGAGAATACACGCGAATGCTGCCAGGCCGCTGCGTCAGCCAGGAGGGAGGTTGTGCGCGTCATCTTGTGTTATGTCTGCCTCTACGGGTGCTGTGAGAATAAACCCGTCCTTAGTTGCTGCGGCTCCTCGCGTTTCCTGCCAGCTTCCTAGCGTGCACCTTGCCCACCCTGGGTTCAGGAACAGTGCGGACAGTGTGAACAGCGAGACATTTGGCGCTGTGAGCAGGATGGGAAGCAATACAAGTTACTAATACCAGCGTTTCTCCCGTGTGCGTATGAAATGTGTGTGTCTGTGTGTTTAGCTGCTAAGTCAGTTCTGACTCTTGTGACCCCATGGTAGCAAGAGTAGCCCGCCAGGCTTCTCTGTCCGTGGGATTCTCCAGGCAAGAATACTGGAGTGGGTTGCCATTTCCTTCTCCAGGGGATCTTCCCCACCGAGGGATCCAACCCTTATCTCCTGCATTGACGGATGGCTTCTTTAACGTTGAGACACTAGGGTAGTACACATGCTAATAAATCTGTTTGTGTGTTAGTTCTAGAAGGTCTTGTAGGTCTTCATAGAACCGTTCAACTTCAGCTTCTTCAACATTAGTGGTTGGGGCATAGACTTGGATTACTGTGATATTGAATAGTTTGCCTTGGAAACAAACAGAGATCATTTTTAACATTGCACCCAAGTACTGCATTTCAGACTCTTTTGCCCAGGCAAGACTTCAACAGTATGTGAACTGAGAAATTCCAGATGTTCAAGGCTGGATTTAGAAAAGGCAGAAGAGCCAGAGATCAAATTGCCAACATCCATTAGATCATAGAAAATGCAAGAGAATTCCAGAAAAAGATCTACTTCTGCTTCATTGACTGTGCTAAAGCCTTTGACTGTGTCAGTCACAACAAGCCATGGAAAATTCTTAAAGAGCTGAGAATACCAGACCACTTTACCTGCCTCCTGAAAAATCTGTATGCAGGTCAAGAAGAAACATTTAGAACAGAACATGGAACAACAGACTAGTTCCAAATAGGAAAAGGAGTATGTCAAGGCTGTATATTGTCACCCTGCTTATTTAACTTCTATGCAGAGTACATCATGCAAAATGTCAGGCTAGATGGAACACAAGCTGGAATCAACATTGCCGGGAGAAATATCAATAACCTCAGATAAGCAGATGACACCACCCTTATGGCAGAAAGTGAAGAGGAACTAAAGAGCCTCTTAATGAAGGTAAAAGAGGAGAGTGAGTTGGCTTAAAACTCAACACTCAAAAAACTAAGATCATGGTAACCAGTCCCATCACTTCTTGGCAAATAGATGGGGAAACAATGGAAACAGTGGCTGACTTTATTTTGGGGGGCTCCAAAATCGCTGCAGATGGTGACTGCAGCCATGAAATTAAAAGATGCTGCTCTTGGAAGAAAAGCTATGACCAACCTAGACAGCATATTGAAAAGCAGAGACATTACTTTGCCAACAAAGGTCTGTCTAGTCAAAGCTATGGTTTTTCCAGTAGTCATTTATGGATGTGAGAGTTGGGCTATAAAGAAAGCTGAGCGACAAAGAATTGATGCTTTTTAACTGTGGTGTTGAGAAAAATTCTTGAGAGTTCCTTGGACTGTAAGGAGATCCAACCAATCCATTTTAAAGTAAATCAGTCCTGATTATTCATTGGAAGGACTGATGCTGAAGCTGAAGCTCCAATACTTTGGCCGCCTGATGCGAAGAACTGACTCATTAGAAAAGACCCTGATGCTGGGAAAGATTGAAGGTAGGAGGAGAAGGGGACCCCAGGGTATGAGATGGCTGGATGGCATCCTGACTTGATGGACATGAGTTTGAGTAAACCCCTGGAACTGGTGATGGACAGGGAAGCCTGGTGTGCTGCAGTCCATGGGGTTGCAAAGAGTTGGACAGGACTGTGTGACTGAACTGAATGGATATGATCTATACCTGGGTTCATTATACTGAAAGAGTGTGGTAGGGTGTATTGTTGTCACACTGTGTCACAAGCCTGATGCGGCTTCCATTAGCAGTTAGCAACAAAAAAATTCATGCTATATTTTTTCGACCATGTTCCCAAATTATACTGTTTAATTGTGTTACAAAGAATTGCTCCCTAATTAGTAGGTTTCACTCCTAAACTAGTCTCATACTCTCAATCACATTTAAATATCCTAAAAGATTTTATTTAAACCCAAATTGGTTTAAAATTGAAAAAAATCTCACCATCGTAATTAACCAAATTTTACTATGTGAAACACACATGCCCCAAATATATGAACAAAGATACAGGGGAAAACTCACATAAAAGAATCCAAGTGGTCCAGATATATACGGCATTTTCATTCCCAAGAGATATTTGGCTTGTGAAGTCACGACATGAGTGGCTGCCCCGGTTGTCATTGCACTGACCACAGGCTCTGTAATCAGGAATGTGGCGCTGCCCAGCTGGAGCACAAACATGGCCGCCTGAGAGGACAAAGAAAGGTGAGACTTCCCAGGCTCCCTAGAGGGTTTCATGTCTGACACATTTTCATTTTCAACACACAGACACAGAGAAATGATGAGAAATGTGCTCCTTAAATTTCATTCATTCGACAGATTGAGGTTTCTTTAGAACATTAGTAGGTTCCAAGACTTTCCAAATGTTTTGGGGTACAATTACAAGTCTTTCAATTAAAGTTAGCACAGTTATTTTTTGAACATTGATTTTTTTTTTCCTCTTTTCCTAATAATGCACGTTACAAGAAAGGAAGTATGTTCAAATCAGTTAATATATGGGAGTCTGTGGGGTAAAAATAAAACTTGCGTTATCATATCTATAATTTTTTTAAAAGTCCAAAGGACATAATTCATGACTTTATACCCAATAGGCTTAAAATTCAAAAGTACCGAGGAGAAAAGTCCATTTCCTGAGTTTCAGCCAGGTTTTAAGAAATGGAAACATACTGTTTTGACGAGATACTCTGTCAAGTAGCTGTAAAGGGCGTATATTAATAAGAAGACGTCAGTGTTTATGGAGAAGACGAAAAGACAGAGATAGGTTTAAGGAATATGCCTTAAGAAACCCAGGAATCAGTAATAGGAAAGTCATTTTCTATAAACTTTTCCTTTCTGCTCCTAACATTATGCTCCATTGCAAAACTGTTTCATGACCAGACAAAACCATCTCATCTGAGCAGAAGCTGTGCATTGAGTTCTACTGGGCAAAGATGACAGCAAAAATCAAATCTCTTTTCTCACTGTTAACACTGCAATGATCAGTGAAGAGAAAGAACTCTGAGGAGATGGCCCACTCTCTGACTACATCCACTATATCCATGTAAACTGTCACAGAAATTTGCCGTTTTGAAAGTAACATTAAATTATATTCATGAGTATTCACACTGAAAAAGGGAACACAAAGTGAGTTATGCTGACATATCTTTCTTAATGTGTTAATAATAATATTTAGGCCAGGTCTTAAAATTCTTGTTGGAAAATAAGATTAAGTATTAAAGAAATCAAGGGAAAGAATAGCAATGAAATCTCCTCCTATCAAGATGCCACAGTAATAAAAATGAGAAGTATAAAGTGCTAAATACTCCCAGAGAACACACTGAAAAATATATCATTTCCTTCACATCACAATGCTTCTTGACCAGAAACAATAATACTCTAAACTTGTATTTAGGATGGAGTTTTCTGAGCTCAAATATGAAAACTTGAGTTCTGATTCTGACCTTACCGTATCCTAATTTTCTGCCTATGGAATATCTGTTAAAATTTTCCAAGCCTCATCATCTATAAAAAATGAGAATGATGTCTGCTCTATTGATTTTTCAGAATTGTTGAGAGTGAGAAATAACATATGAAAGAGTTTTGAAACCCATAAAATATGCAACATGTGTGTTGTACCTGGAATGTTATAAGATGCCATATATATTTACATAGCATGGAAAACTAGCCACTAGATTTGAAAATGTAGAAAGAGCCACACCATATTTTCCAACTCTAGAGAGCATGAAAGAATTTATCAGTGCAGAAAGAAATGCATTTGAATTTCTTACATTATTAATAAATTAAAATAATTTATTATAAATTGCATTTATCCCCTCCCTTTTTATTCAGTATGTAATAAAGAAAACAATACAGGTTGCCAACACAGAAATCAGGCAATTCTTCCACCAAAAAATGAAACCAGAGCAGCAGCTTCTATTACCAATACTTTTTGGTTCAGAAACTGTGTCAGTTTGTCAAATAGAAATGTCCCAAGGGAAATACCCAATCAACCAATGGTGTAGGTACAAGTGGAACACACCAATTCATAGTCTTTTGATTTTGATTTTCATCCTAAAAATACAATTAGTTAAGAAAAATGTGGAACCAATTTTTCCCAAGTATCTTTCTATTAGTTCACTCCAAATTATGACACTAATTCTTACAGGCCATGAGGATGAAACTAACATATTATTGAGGCAAAATGAACACCAGAGAGTTGAGTTTTCATTCCCTGAAATGCAGCATACAAGCGATCCAAATCTGTGAAATTGGAAGCCTGCTTCCCTATATGGAACTTTACGCATATGTGGAGTGTCAGAAAGTTCTTATTTGTATGCCAAGAAATCTTATTTTCATTTGTTTTGAGAAGCAAATTCCTTTGAGAGGACGTGTAGAGATCATCCCCATTTTACATTCTGGTTTTTATTTGTTTCCTACCCGGCACCTACTAAGAGGGGTTAGTATCTTCTCATGCCTGAGAAACAAAGGTCGCCTAACCTGAAGTGAAAGGCCAGCCACCCCCAGCTAACCACTATCTTCTAGTAAAAACTGTGTCATTTCCACAACCAGATTGCTACAAATAGAAGGATATAGGAAAAGTTCAAAATATGAAGGGCTCAGCCATTTCAAATCTTGAAAATACATGTACCTACCTTACAATACAAACCAAAAAGATTGGGGTAATCTGTAAAACTTATCCAAAGACTCCATGTATTTTTGTAATATACTTCTTGTACACATTTTTATTCTTTAGAAAAAGACCTTCCCGGTAATGGACAAATTCCTAAAATGGAGAATTCTTGACTCTTAAAAGTTCACCAAGCCCCTTAAGACCTCCTTTCTGATACAAAATATTGTGTATGTGAAGAATGGTTGCAAACATGTGAGATTTAACTAAAGAGAAATTACATTCTTCTTGATGACAGCATTCTCCATAATCCAAGACAAGGGCAGACATTTTAAGAAAAAAGAGGGATAGGAGGAGAAAGACAAGAAGGAGAAATTTACGAACATCTCTTTCCTCACCACCTACATTTCAAGTTTGTTCACATCAAAATGAGGGTTCTAGTATACAGAGGCTGCGGTATACAAGCTGAAGGCAGCAAGTACCTGTAACACACAGGCTTTGTAAGAGGTATCCACAGATGCGACTGCAGTTTCCAAGATTATCTTGGAACTTAAGTATGTAAAATGAGGATCCTTCTATAATATTTTGCATGGAGGCCTAATACTTAAATTCTATGCCAATGTTAAAAAAATGTTAGGTTAATGACTTAATAAACAGCCACATCTGTTCCTTTTACTAATAATGGGGATGATAATAATTATAATCTGGCTAGCCAACTCCCAAAATTTGCCCATGCAACATTTCCTGAGAAAATTAATTTCATACAATATATTTCAGCTGTTTGTAGTAATGTTGATATTCTGCGCTAATGCTGAAAACCCCTGACACACATTATCAAGGTTCACAAGCATGATACTATTTGGTAATGCTCTTATAAACATCATGTGTTCTATATAAATTGAATGTATCTCAGATCTCAAACCATTTTTTGCAAGAGGCCTTCAAGTAGTGAAAAAAGAAAAGAGTGCATATCAAACAACTACACTGACCAAGTGGATGGAATACTGCATGCATTTCAGGTTTTATCAGTTTGCAGTCTGTATAATTATATTATACCAAATCATTTATTTGTTTGTTCAATGCATATTTATTGAATACCTGCTAGGGGCAAGGCACAATATTGCTACAGAATACAGAGATAAAGACACAGTTCCTTTGGAAAAACCTTATAAAGTGAGGCAAAGTGTTGTTGGGAGCAGGGAACGTTAACCAGGAGTGTAAAGAACTGCAACGTAGCTGTTACTAGGAAGGTAGAGACTAAGAAGTTGAGTGGGAGCTAAAACTCTGAAAGCCCTTTGTTCTCTACTGAGTATTGCATGCAGACTTGGGGAAGAGAGCTAAATTGCTCATGATAATAGATCAGTTGGCTTTCCCTGTGGTTTAGTGGTAAAGAACCTTCCTGAATCCACTGCAGGAGACATGGATTCAATCCCTGGGTGGGGAAGATCCCCTGGAGAAGGAAATGGCAACCCACTCCAGTATTCTCGCCTGGGAAATCCCACGGGCAGAAGGAGACTAGAGGGTGACAGTTCATGAGCCGCAAGAGTTCGCCATGACTTAGCAACTAAACAACAATGGAACAGCTGAGTGCTGCACAGAGATACGGCAGGGAAAAAACTCTGTGTGACCAGAGAATAGAGGAAAAACGTCAAAAGGATACCTATGAAGTTGTGTTCTGTGAAGTTATGTGCTACGGAATTCATAAGATAAAGCCTGCCTCCATACTATTCAGTAATAAAAAGGAATGGCCTATCAAGTCATGCAATGACTTATTGCATGATTCCATTATACAACATTCTAGAAAAGGCAAAACTAAAAAAGACAGTAAGCAGATCAGTAGCTGCCGGGGCTTGGAAAATATATAATAGGTAAAACGGGGAATTTTTTAGAATGGTGAAACTACTCTGTACAATACTGTAATGGTGGATATATGATAGCACATTTATCAAAACCCATGAACCTTATTTTTTAGAAAATTATTTGGAGGTTGGGAGATCCAGGGTGGATTGCAGAATGTGACAAAGAATCTGACGACCAAAGATGCATTTACTATCTTTATATGTTTGCCTTTTCTAAGTAGCATTTAAATGGACTCCTACAATATATAGACTTTTCGGATTAGTTAAAGGTATGAAAAAACCTCACAGAAATGGATGCCAAAAATGTGCTCACATGAATAACTCTGGAAATGAGTCAAGTATGTAAAGTGAAAGTGAAAGTTGCTCAGTTGTGTTCAACTCTTTGCGACCCCATGGACTGTATAATCCATGGAATTCTCCAAGCTAGAATACTGGAGTGGGTAGCCGTTCCCTTCTTCTCAACCCAGGGATCGAACCCAGGTCTCCCACATTGCGGGCAGATTCTTCACCAGCTGAGCCATAGGGAAGCCCGAAGTATGTCAAACCAAAGGTAATAAAGATGCTGTCCTTGAGTTGGTAAAGTTCATTCCCATGGGTCTAGAAGTTAATAATTCTGAAACCACTATAAGTATACACTGGGACTGAAAAATGAAATAAATGGTTAGTAGATAGTGGGAGCCAGATTTCTCACTATTGAAGAAATCTACTGCAAGCAAGGGGAG